GAACAGAAAATGCACCTCTCTTCACCCGATTGCTTCTCTTTGGGTCGTGGGTTTTTGTTGGAGGCCTTGCCAAAGGGCACTGCAACTTGGCCTGAGGAGAAACTTGTAAATTCGAGTCCCGTGGCCGTCTCCCCAACAATGTGTAGATCCGACTACAAATTTTTGAAGAGTTCTTGTCAGAGCATGTCTGGTCCTAATTTGTGGGGCCTTGTGATCGTCACTGCCGGCTGGGACGGACGTATTAGAACCTACCACAATTACGGTACACCTATTCGTCGTTAAAGTCTTTGAAATCCCCAAAGACGGCATTTTTTAGACAGTGATTATGCATCCTTGCAATCACCGCTGGTATTGGTTAAATAATTCTTGGTGCTTGTACAATGCAGTATCATTGACAGTTGCCTAGTGTGCACCCTTCAAGATTACCAAATGTATTTTAGTCCAGTCAGGTCATGCCAGGTGGCAACAGTTATCCACCTGCAATCCCACCAGGTGTCCACAAGCTGCTGGTGGAATTGCTTTTAAGTTTTGTATTGGATCATCTTATACAAGTAAAATTTACATGATTCTTTAATTTGTTGGTTTTTCAGCTCAGAAATTATACTGAGTTTTATGTGGCAGGCAGTTAATCCCCTAGATTAGGAGATGTGTATATAATATATTTACAAGTGTGTATAATACAGGTGTCTGTGGGGCATCTTCGGTTCTGAAATCTTTGCACTCAGAAATATTATTGTATGTCTTCTTGACATTTCATTAATGCAATTAAATTTTGGGTGGTTTGGGTGGTTACTCTTCAGTCTCAGCTAAATGCTCTCCCTTCAACTTCCTTCTCATTTTAAATGCTCTGCTGCAGAAGAGTCTGTGGCTTTTAGGGTGGTGGGGGCTGTGATTGATAGCGCTCTACCGTACTTGGAATCATTAATTATGATGGGAGAAACAGAGGCTTCAGAAAGACAGAATTGAATATCAGAACTGTGAATAATTATGAGAAATGGGGATGGAGCTGCTATATCAGTACGTTAGGAGGTTGAGGGAACAATTTTTAAAGCTCATAGCTAGGGGGTGGGAGGACTACAGACCAAACTAGCATCTCTTATTGATGAAATTTCGAGCTTTTAGATTGGCGAAAAATGCTTTTAGAATGGCTAAAAGTGGTTTCAATGTAGGCTAAAAGTGTTTTCAGATAACTCAAAAGCGTTTGCATTAGATGCGATTTGAGTAGATTAATTGCCATGCATATCAGAATTTTTATTTAGAAAGTTAAAAGAAGGTATCTTGCATCCATTAAGAAGAATGAAGGAAAGAGAAAAGTGTGTTGAAATGTGATCTTAGGACAATGAAAGAGCATAAATATGGTGTGGAATGTAGGGCACCACATGCTGCAACGGTTATGATCTACTACTAACTACTTATGCCTGCAAGTGAGAATGATGTGGTATTCAATTGAAGCAGTCTGGTTTGGTGAGAGGTTAGAGATCCATTTCCATTTGCAAGAATTTATTTATTTCAATTTGCTTCTAAAATTAAGAGGCAAATTGAAATAAATATATATATATATATTTATATGGTGTGGAATAATTTAATTAATTTTAATAATTTATATGATGTGCCCTATATATATTAATTTATATTTATAAATAATTTAATTATTTATTTATCAAGGTTATTTACTCAAATGGTCCTCAAACTCGGCATTTTATATAAATTTTAATTAATTAATTAATATTTTAGTATAAATTGGCGATTTGAACCCTAAAAAATACAACTCGGCAATGGGCCGATTAATAAAGAGTTGGTGGATCATTTGAATGAATAATTTAGTTGAGAGATAAAAATACAACTAGACAATAAATTTGAGGACCATTTGAGTAAATAACCATATTTATCATGAAGCAAATAATCTTTGGTGTTAAGGATGTACATGTGGCATGGACCCACTGCAAGTCTGGAAAGAAACGAGGGCAAACAAAAAATGCATAACTTATGTGACAAGCTTTTCTTTTTATTGATGGTGACAAAATTTCATGAGGAGCACATGTAACACAGCTTCTAAGAATCAAATGTGAATGAAATACATGACAAATGTGATTCATATCTTAGGATAGGATAAAGCACTAATGAAAGTCTAGTCTAGACCCTATGTGACGTACAAGTTTTGATTGCAGAGAAAAATATAATAAAAGATGAACCAAATTAACATTTACATATACAAATAATTTATTAATCACGTGGTGAGAAATGCATAGAGACAGAAATAGAAAACTCGTTATATGCCAATTATTCTCCAATTAGTGAGGAAAGGTAAAAAATAAATAAAAAAGTTCGAATCCCTTTCTTTTAAACCCAGCCTTATATAAATAAGAAAGAAAAATGTTGAAAATGCTCTTGTGGCATTTCTAGAATTAATGTTCACAATCTCACAATAATGCTCATGGTATAAAATCTAAAGAAGGTGGTGTTTTGCTCTGTCGAGAGTCTTGGTTAGACTGAAGCATAGAGTCTTTGTCCTCCATAACATGGGCAGAGCACCCTGTTGCTCAAAGGTGGGTCTGCATAGAGGTCCATGGACTGCCAGAGAAGACACATTGCTCATTCAGTACATCCAGTCCCATGGTGAAGGCCATTGGAGTTCTTTGCCTAAGAAAGCTGGTAAGAAATTAATTAACTTAGCCTAACAGCTTCTTTGTTTCTTCTTTCTTTCTGTTTTGGTCTTATAAATTGTGTTGTAACAATTGGTTTATTGGTTTTTTTTTTTGGTTCTTCATTAAATTTTTGGTGTGGAAAATGAAGGGCTTCTTCGATGTGGGAAGAGCTGCAGGCTAAGATGGATGAACTATCTGCGGCCTGATATAAAGCGAGGCAACATAACTCCTGAGGAAGATGACCTAATTGTGAGGCTTCATGCCCTTCTCGGCAACCGCTGGTCTCTCATTGCTGGAAGGCTTCCTGGTCGAACTGACAATGAGATCAAGAATTACTGGAACACTCACATCATCAAAAGACTCAAAATCCAAAAAACCAGCACTCAAAATGTTGCAACAAAACCAAAATCAAAATGTGTCCAAGCTGAGGAGGCCAAGATAAGTGATGATGACCAAGAAAATATTGGTGCAACAACAAAAAGGACCAAACTTCATCTCCCAAAGCCTACAAGGGTGTCTCCAGTTAAAACCCCAGTTGGGTCTTTTTGTGATGGAGAGGGAATTCATGAACAAGAAGCTGGTTTTCATGATGCAGAGGTTCCTGATTATTTTCATGTGTCTTGGTCTTATGATATGAAGAAGAAAGATGATGATTGTCTTGGGGAGGGCTTGGTTTGTGGTGAGAATGTTGAAGATTGTTATGACTTTGTTCAAGGGTTTGACCCTGCCAGGTGTCAGAATTCTGAAGAAGCTGCTGCAGCTGCAGAAAGAGTTGCCATGCCATGGAATATCTGTGAGGAATATGAGCAGGATCTCAAGGCAGATCAAGATCATGGTCAATTGGAGTCTTTTGTTGATTCCTTGCTGATCTGAATGTTTACAAAAATTAGAAAAGAAAAATTGTACGATATTATCAGTATGTGTCAGAGTAGGTTTTTCAATTTCATTTGAATTGTAGTGTTTCTTAGTCTTGAATATTGACTGAAGCTAGCTTTGCATTTTGGGTAGATTTCAATTTCATTTGCAAAAAAGGCAGAGTTGCCTTTCTGTTTCTGTTACAAATTTCTTTGTAGGTATGCCCAATAATTTTGATCCTACAAACAGCTAACTAGGTAGAAATAATTTTGCTGCATGCACAAGTCCAAAAAGCTTCGAAATGAGTCTATCATAATTGAATCAGAGACCAATTTTGGAAGAGGCCTAGGGGTGTAGGTTTCCCTTAAAAAACAGAGGCAATAAGTGTGAGAAATTTTCAATTGGATCCCATAATTAAATAGCAATTTGGAGGCTTTTTGTGTAGTCTACATGCTATGCTGCATTGTCTGTGAATGGCAAAAGCAATGAAATAATTGAGCTAAATGATGGCATGATTTGCTGAAAATAGGACATCAAAATTAACTCTTGAATAAGAACATGTTACTCTTTTTGTTGCACAATTTTTTCCAGTACAAGCGATAGTTTAAATTACAAGGGATGTGATTTTTCACACACACGCACACAACTAAGATGCCATGAGAGTTCGAACCTGAGACATCTAGTCTGCAAGTCACGCTCTTTTCCACTGGGTTAGACCCCTTTAGCCTTTGTTGCACAGTTTTAGTTTTTACCACCCTTTTGCATTGTACAAATTGGTTGAGTGGAGCTGTTTTTGCATCGTCCATTTAATTTTAAAGAATTATTTACTTTGTAATGTGTACAGTGCCTGTAATTGTGAAAAATAAAATAAAATCTTACAAGTTTTTTGGGTTTCTATTTTTAATCATTTGTTTGACTTGGTAGTCGGTACTACCATCACATGATATGATTAACTTAATAGCACTAAAATTAAGAAGTCAAATATCCATTTAACTTACTAAAGCGACTTGATGGATACAGCTTAAAGTAGTATTTGTTTCCTTGTCCCATTTCAATGGCTTTATAGCTTTTCTCACAACTGCTCCGCATTCATGTTGGATTGTTTACAGAAATCAAATCTAATTGGGAGGTTAATCAATTGCAAATTTGCAATTAGTCTATGCCATGCTACCCACATGGCTTTGCCTTTTTTAAGCTGTTAATAAATTGGGTTCTCAGATTGATTTAAAGTTCAGCCCAAAATAAACCAATGAATGGTGGTCCTGGAGCAATGAAACCTCAAAGTTGAAATTATTGCAACTTTGCTAGAATTTAAAATTTGTAGCCCTAGAATGAAAATTATTGTGTCGTACTAGAACACTAGTGTTACTAATTTATGTATTATACTAATTTACGTACTTAAGCGATAACACGGAAACTTTTATGAAATTATTCAAGGAGGTTGAAACCGAATTCCCATGTAGGATAACCCAAAAGGCAACCTAAATGATACGAAAGTGATTAGGGTAAAATCATGTAAAATACTCATTAAAAGGGCACAATAAATTGAAGGGGGAAAATTTGGATTCAACCCCATCATTGAGAAGAACAAATTAAAGGCTCGTTGAACATAACAACATAGTTTCGTATACATAGTGGTTACAGCGTGAAGAGGTATGGATATTTATCTTCAGAAAGGCCATAAGTCCCCCCAGATAGACTTTCGGGCCTGTTGATGTAGTGCAGGGTTCTTACTCTTTGTCACGACCACCCGCTGAAGCTCGCCTTCCGAACCATCCCGTTTGGTTGATCGACAAATATCCATTGTAACCTGCTTGCCCCTTCGTACAGGCATATAGATGATCCTGCCCCAACCACCCCCAAGATCAGCATGACCTGTTTCATCCTCCTCCTCTTCGTCATTTTCATCAGCAACATCAGTTTCCATAACATCAGAATCATAGTTAACTGGATCCGGTTCTTCAAATGGAATGAGGTCAGCTTGCTGCGAGCTATTTAGCTCCTCTGTCCAGGTCAAACACAAAACCTTAGAATGAAGAAATATGAGTTTACAAATTGCCAGAATGTTAGTAATTAATGCATGGAATCAAATAGACAAGTTCATTTTGGGTCTCTTGAATATATATTCTGAAAAGGATACTCATGTAACTTGTAAGACATACCCAGGTCAATTTCAAGATCTTCAGGGCTCCGTTTAGCCTGTTGCTCCTTCAAAGTCTCAAATTTCAGACCATCAAGAGGCCAAGGTTCCCTGGTCAGGATAACAACAGCGCAATCATGAGACAAAAGCATTCCCAACACAAAATATTTATGAGCAAAAAACCTGACAACTGTAAGAGAAGGACATCTTTGGATATAAAAAATTATTGATTGGTCTAACTGAAAATGTTTTTGATTATAACAACTAAACTAAGGCAATTGACAGCTAATGACGTGTTTATAACAAAGACACTGAGTTAGCCAGAACAAAATCACATGACAAAAGATTAAACCCAAAAAGATCTGACTAAACCATTGTAGCTTTATGAGATTGGATTCTGACCTTCCATTGTCTTAAAATAATATTAAAGAACCCACAATTTTGAACATGAACATAAAAAAATACTAACTGTGGTCTTTGTCCTCGTCTGACAGCAATGAAGCTAAATTTCTCATCTTCAAAGCCACGTAACGGCTGACCACCCTTGGAACGCTATAAAAGTTCGAATAAGAAAAGGTAATATCAATATTAAAGCACTTACTTAAATCATAATGTACTAAATATTTCAAGAAGAAAGAGTGTAGGAAATTGATGCAAGGAAGAACCTTGAATGTACGCTGAATAGATGTCCTCTCCAAGCGCTGAACAAAATGACAATACTTTCCAGCTTTCTCCAGCGGACATTGTCCATCATGAGAACACTGCATCAAGAGAACTATAAAATAAAATGAGAGAATTAACAATTTCAAAGGAAAAAAATGGAGAAGCTGGGCAACATATTAATTTTGACACCAGAAAAATATGGGCTAGAGAGCCATTATACTCACCGGAGCAACTATAAATGCACCACTCTTTTGAGTGACCAAGTCCTTGGTAGTTTTATCAGCTCCATCTTTAGATTTACGGCATTTCTAAGAAGTAATGAGTGTATCATTATACATTATTTTGCAGACACAAAAAATTCCCAGTACAGAAATTGAACAAGCATGCTAACTCAAAAGCCACATCAAGGAGCAAGTAACAAGTAAGAAAACAACTTACCCTTTTTTCCATCCACAATATATGTGAACGCATCTGAGATATGATATTAGATCCTTGTGGTGTTCCAGGTTCAATCAAAACCTATTAAATTTTAGGAAATCAAAGGGTAAAGATAATAGGCTAAAAATTTGGAAGGTCCAAACTGAAAATTCCATGAAAACAATTATAAAATGGCAAGTGAATTACAAGTAATTTTTGCTTTTGCCCATGTATTCCAAAATCATTTGTCAAAACATATAATACTTGTCCCCTTAGTCAATGGCATAAACCAGAACATAGGATCATCACAAATCTTCTATCATGAACTCATAGTGAAGCATGAAACTCATCCACATAAAATAAAATAAAAAGCATACCAGGACATCCCGTGTCAGATCCCAAAGCTGGCGTACTACAGTAATTCGATCCTTGAGCGACGGTATCTCTCCAAGAACATAGGACTTCACCCCATTGCAACAAACAACAGTTATTATATGTACCAACCAACCATGCCAAGGCAAACATGATGTGTATAATATGCCTAACTTACAGCAATTACAAGGTCATGCTCTCTGTCTGACTTTTTGATGCTTTTGGTCAATGATTGGATGCTATCATAACTATGAATAAGTGGCAAGTCCTTCTGACCTAAAATAACCATGACATAAAGTGGTCAGAGTTTTTTCTGAGCTCTATGACACTTGTTGATAATGCATGAACAATTGCAATACGGATAGTCAAAGGTTAGTAGACTGGTGCTTTAACAACTGCAATTCAACCAGTTATCTATACAAATTAATCTACAAATAATCTCGAAAACATATCAATTAACTAGTTTGAACTGAAAAATCATTAAGAACCTTGTATAAGCTTCTGCCCTGCACGCTGCATTGATTGTGATGGCTCCACTAGATTAACTTTCTCCAAGGAATGTGGCCAGACTTCACGTAGTGCCCTATAGCATTGAATTCACATTACAACCAAATTACAGTCTTACGTGATTAACAATCAAAAGATAACCAAATGAGTTTTTCACCAGAAAGCTGAACCCGTGCCAGCACCAAAATCCAACACTCTAGCAGGAGAAAACTCAGGCAGTCTTCTACGAACCTATACAACAACAAAACACATAAGAAAACGAATCCACATTCAAAGGGAACAATAACATAACAAATCCAAGCTAAGAACCTCATTTAAATAAAAAAAGAAGATAACTTTCTCTGCTTTCCACCATTTTCTCAGCTCCAATACTCGTTATTCAAATTTATACAACAACCCATATTACAAATTTCATTAATTCATACCTCCTTCAGTACTCTGTGACAAGCAGAAAACACAGCAGGCATTCTAGAAGCAACATAAGCAATGGTCTCGTCGTCTCTGTAGGTGAGGCCGATGTCTCCATAAGAGCTCTTGATCTTCCACCTCTGGGATTGGTCCACAGACTGCAAAGGGTCCTCAACGAGCTGTTGTGAAGTCGCTGTAACAAGCTGCGAATTCACATCCTTAATTTGGCTGAAAGATTCCGATAGCCTCAGCACCTTCCTCTTCATGTGGGGCTCCTCCTGCTCTAAAATCCCAAAACCCCATAAATTGAATTGCATCATTTACACATATAGATGCATAAAACCAGATATAGAGAGAGAGAGAGAGTGAAGACCTTTGAGGTATTTTTTAATGGCTCGACGGAGACGGACTGGGGTCGTGAGGCAGCGCTGGGACTGTTTGGCAGCGGAGCGGAGAGTTTCTTGGATTAGGACCTTTTGGGCAGTCTCGGGTAGCAGGGTGGTCGCCATTTTCGGTAGGGGTGAGGATCTGGTTGGAGTTGTGCCCCGTGTGTGACTGAGGAAGACGAGATGGTTGGGTTTTGTTAAGTTTTCTTCAGAGGTTTATGGGACTTCAGGGTTTTAGCCTTTTGGGTTTTTTATTGGGCTATGTGGGTGTGAATATATGGGCCGTACAAGTATATTGGGCTATGTGGAGGTTTTTTATTATTATCTTATTTTTAATATTAAGGAAATTAACAAAACCCGCAAAAGTTGAGCTTAATAAGGGCATCTCTAGTAATGGAGAGCTAAACATCGCCCGCACATAAAATTTAGCCCACTATTTATAGTTTTTAAAGAAATAGTGTTGTGCTATATTTTTATCGTCTCCAACAGTGCATAGCTAAATCATAGCCTCCTTAATATTTTATTAGTTTTTAGTATATTCTTTAAATATATTGAATAATTTAATTAAAGTACTATTTTAGACCCTATTTAAAATTTATTTTAGAAGAGAAAAATATTTTTGGATATGATAGGATTAATTTAAAAACAACAACTGGCCCACCTAAGAAATAATAAAATAAGATATAGCCCACCCAAGAAGTATGCCACATTTGGCCCTTTTAGCCCTTTAATTGGGTTCGGCTCAGTGACATGGCACATTTAGCCCACTTGCTGGAGATGGGTTTGGGGTGTGAAATGGCTAAATTTGAGGATTAATCTTCATGTGGGGCTCCTCCTGCTCTAAAATCCCAAAACCCCATAAATTGAATTGCATCATTTACACATATAGATGCATAAAACCAGATATAGAGAGAGAGAGAGTGAAGACCTTTGAGGTATTTTTTAATGGCTCGACGGAGACGGACTGGGGTCGTGAGGCAGCGCTGGGACTGTTTGGCAGCGGAGCGGAGAGTTTCTTGGATTAGAACCTTTTGGGCAGTCTCGGGTAGCAGGGTGGTCGCCATTTTCGGTAGGGGTGAGGATCTGGTTGGAGTTGTGCCCCGTGTGTGACTGAGGAAGACGAGATGGTTGGGTTTTGTTACGTTTTCTTCAGAGGTTTATACAGGGTTTTAGCCTTTTGGGTTTTTTATTGGGCTATGTGGGTGTGAATATATGGGCCGTACAAGTATATTGGGCTATGTGGAGGTTTTTTATTATTATCTTATTTTTAATATTAAGGAAATTAACAAAACCCGCAAAAGTTGAGCTTAATAAGGCCATCTCTAGTAACGGAGAGCTAAACATCGCCCGCACATAAAATTTAGCCCACTATTTATAGTTTTTAAAGAAATAGTGTTGTGCTATATTTTTATCGTCTCCAACAGTGCATAGCTAAATCATAGCCTCCTTAATATTTTATTAGTTTTTAGTATATTCTTTAAATATATTGAATAATTTAATTAAAGTACTATTTTAGACCCTATTTAAAATTTATTTTAGAAGAGAAAAATATTTTTGGATATGATAGGATTAATTTAAAAACAACAACTGGCCCACCTAAGAAATAATAAAATAAGATATAGCCCACCCAAGAAGTATGCCACATTTGGCCCTTTTAGCCCATTGATTGGGTTCGGCTTAGTGACATGGCACATTTAGCCCATTTGCTGGAGATGGGTTTGGGGTGTGAAATGGCTAAATTTGAGGATTGAGCTCACCATTGGAGATGGCCTAAGGAGAAATTCTAGCATCCGCTTGTCGGATCATGTGCATTGTCTCGGCCGCAGTCACAATAGCAAGAGCCCCTTGTATTTTCGTCCCACGAGCCCCTTCAGTGATCCTTCTTATGTGAGTATGATGTTATATACAACAGTCGCATACAAGAATCTCTCCTTAATAAGGATGTTGTTTGGAATGTGTAACTATAATAATACTAAAAAACTTTGTAGGAAATACATACATTGGCCCAACAACCTTGCATTTGCTCTAACTCATAATTTCTTTTGGATCGAATCCCTGATCTATCCTCTGAAATCAATATTTTTCTTGAGATCAAGGGGAAAGGAATAGGGTAATAACAACATTACCTTCCTATATATAGAACCTCTATTTAGGATTTATATAAAACATGAACTAATACCATCCATATTGCTAATATTTTTATTTTTTAAATTATAATCCGACATAGCATCATCATGGTACAACATTATCCTCATCAATAGTAAAAGCATAGGCAACATGGTAAACGATATCATTCACTTTGTCTGTCGGTAAAGCTAGTTAGCTTTTGACTCACTTGGTCGAGTTATAATCCTTTGACCACCGTAAAAAGGAACTTGGTAAATGGTAACTTGTAGTTATAGTTTTTGCTATTCAAAGGATTATCAGCTGAGCTGTGTTTAAGTTAAGGTGGTCATGAATTAATTACAGCAATAATCAACCTGAGAAATGTTAGGCAATGGCAGATGTTATTTATTGTGGGGGGAGGGGGGGAGACAAAGCCTCAGACAACATAACTGCTTTGTCTTCGTCGACAGCCCACATTTGGCTTTGGTCTTCGAGAATTCGTGTGTAGATGGATAACTCTAACAGGAAGCATCAAAAGGTCCTTCGCAACAAACTAGGGTTTCTGTGACTGCCTTTAATGCTTTGTACTTTTCTTTTGTTTGCCCTAACCATTTGACAGAGCCCTTCTGTCTTTCTTCCCTCCCACCTCTGTCAAATCCATCTTCTTCTTTTTTTTTCTCTTCTTTTCTTCTTTGTGTTTTGCGTTGAATTGAATTCTGCCTTCAAAATATAATATGAAATTTATTGAATTAAAAAGAGGGAAAAACTGGTGATTTTAAAAAGGGGTTTTGATCGAGAAGTTGAACTTCCTTTCCTTGAACGCATGCATCGATCGGTGACCACCACGCATGTTAGTAGTAGGGCCCCGAACTGTAGCCCCAAAGATACTCCTCAAAATTCAACCACCACATGCAACAAACTGACCCCATGTTCTTAATGTCCTCTTATTCTTTAAACTTAAGACCCAGTTCGCAAGTTAAGGCTCTTTTCTGTCGGGGTAGACCCGTTTTAACAAAAGAACATATATATTTTGCTTAAAGAAAAACAAACGTATACTATTCAACAAATATACACAAACTAGGGTTCCAAACACTTTCATCTCCAACCAAAGTCCACAGTACAAACTCTAATTAATTCGATAATATTATACCTTTGTGTCATTATATATATAAACACACACCAATCCAATCTGGTCATGACTTGGTACCAACTAAGAAAACCATTCTTCACATAAATATATTCATACATCAAAAGCCTTTCCTTTATCTAATTAATTAATTAATTAATTATATATAATCCATACCACTATCGTACTACTAAAACTAGTACTATACATGTTCAAAGCTGCGTACAATTATATATATATATATATATATATATATATATATATATATATATATATATATATATATATATATATATATATATATATATATATATATATATATATATATATATATATATATATATATATATATATATATATATATATATATATATATATATATATATATATATATATATATATATATATATATATATATATATATATATATATATATATATATATATATATATATATATATATATATATATATATATATATTTTAGGACGATGTTCCTTCTTCCTTCCTACCACTGTATTTAGCTACATATGCTAGTAATTAAACATACATTAAGAAGTAACTAGTCATATAATTAAGATGCTTTTCTGTTTCTCTCTTGATATTTGTATCTATAATATATAGTTGATGATGATGTCCTGTTTTCTACTCTTTTAGTACTCCAATTGGCTGCTTGGATCAAAAATCGCATTGGAGGATTTGGACACCATGATTTCAGAGGCCGACCATAACCGAGCAGCTTCGCTTAGGTTAGATCCCAATTTCGACGGCAAGGTCTCGTTGCAGTCGGCGAAGTACTTCCCGGACACGTCCACCAGCCTTGGGTGTGTCGCGGCATAACATGTTGTCGCCGCAGCCTTCCACAACAAACTAAACTCAGTACAATGTAATACTAAATTTATTGAACATTTTAAAAAAAAAATAGGAAGGATTAGGCTAACAAATATAACCTGGGGTATTGTTTTCAGGAGCTTGGAAGCCATGAGGAACGCCAAATCTACATATTCAAAACTCATTTAATTCAGCAAACACAAAAAAATATTTTAAATTAATAAATTTGTAGAAATAAAAAGGAAACCTGTGGCAAGGCCTTCACGTTCTCGGGTGAGGCGGGTCCTAACGATTCCTGGATGGACACAGTTAACGGTGACGTTGGCGTCCATTTCCTGATGATTTTAGTAAAAACAAAAAAACAATATTACAAGAAAAAAATTAGCAACAATAATCATTTAAGAAAAAAACAAAAGCTACCTTTTAATACTTATAATAAATTATTTATTTATATCGATAATCATCAAACAGCGTGTGCGTGTTTTTGTCTTTTAATAATGATCAAGCGAACCTTGAGTCTGCGAGCGAGTTCCTTGGTGTGCAAGACGTTGGCCAGCTTCGAGAGCGCATACGCACGTGTCTCGTCGTAATCGCTGTTAACCACCCACACAACAAATTTCAATACACATAAACAAATGTCCAACTCTCAATCACATATTTAATGGGAATTTTTTTTAAATTTTTTATTCAATAATGCAATATTTCAAAATACTCTTTTGTAAGAGAAGTGAATGGAATTCAAGTATAAAAAGACGGATACACTATTTTCATCTACTTACTTAATTCACATATATTATTTAATAATTTTAAAAAATCAAAAATAAATAAACGAAGGAACGAGAATAAGATCAATTAATTAGTGATTTTTTTAAATATAAAATTACTAATTTTAGTTTGGCACCGCAAGTTTTTTTATTTTCTTGCTCACTTATCACTAAATGCAGCATAAATAATCGGCTACAGTTCCCGATTCTTTTAACTCGCTCACCTTCCGCTTCGGCTTATCTCGCCGAGATATCGGATGGTATCCCCCGAAAACCAGCCGTGAATCGCAGACGAGACGTTCACTATTCGGCCTTGAACGCCGGTAGCCGCCGCCGTTCCGATCATTTTGTTGAGCAGCAGCTTCGTCAACAGAAAATGGCCTGAAATTTTTTAATTAATATTCTGCAAAAAAAAGTATTAGTCGGAGTGTTAGTACTAATTACCTAGATAATTAGTCGCAAAGGTCATTTCGATTCCGTCTTCGGAAATAGCGTGCTCGTGCGCGAACTTTCCGGCGTTGTTTCTGACACAAACCAACCAAAAAGAAACTTTTTAGTTAGCTAATTTTCTTTTCGTCTCCCGCATTTTCTCGGCAGCCAAACAGAAAACAACAAGAGAGAGAGAGAGAGTTACATGAGCAGATTAAGAGGCAGCTGAAGGGACTCGAACTCGGAGACGAAGCTCCTGACAGAAGTGAGAGAGCTAAGATCAAGCGCCATGATGATGATCTCCGAGTCGGGAAACTCGGAGACGATAGGCTCCGAGCCGGGAGGACCAGCCTGGCCCCACGCTTAGCTAAAACACGAGCCGTCTCAGCGCCGATCCCTGACGTAGCACCTGATGAATTCCAAAAAACCACACGGTCGTCAAAATCAGAAGCTGATCATCAAAATGAAAAGCAAATCACTGTAATCGGACGGTGGTTATTAAGCTCACTTGCGTACCTGTGATGATGGCGGTGATGTGGCGCAGATCGGGAGAGCTCTCGGTGACTTGCTCCGCTGTGCTCCTTGAGCCGTAGCCGCTCGCTCCGGCCGATCCGAGCAGGTACTTCACGGTCTCGAGCATGTTTTTTGCCTGTTGATCACTGGGGCCTATGGTGTGAAGTGATGTTTGACCGCGTTGACTATAACACAGAAAAACAAAGAGAGAGAGAGAGAGAGAGAGAGAGGCGGACAGAGCACGTACGTGTTTGGTTTGGTTATTCACTGTGCCTGAAGTAGCCGCTTTGCATTAAATACATACAGAGAGAGAGAGAGAGAGAGAGAGAGAGAAATGGTGAGGTTTGGTTTGGGTGGAGGATATGGATTGAGGTTTAGGGAAAGGGAGGGAGGGGTAGAGGATTATATATTTGTCATTGATTGATAGATCGGATTAATTGGTTTAAATTTAATTTTGCATGATTAGGTTAACTTGGTGATATTTTATTTGTGGTCCTAATCCATCTAATTAACTTTTTGTTTTTATTTCTAAACATTATTATTTCTTTAAAGATCGGGATTTTAGTGGGATTTTTTTTCTTTCTTTGGGAGGTGAGGGTTTTGATTGTAAACGAAAAGAATCTAGCAATAATGCACCAAATCATTTACTACAACTTTCCTAATAGCATCCAAACCATTAAATTAAAGATCTAGCAATAATGTACCAAATCATCTACTTCTAATTTTTTCCCCTTTCTTTTCAAAAATCTTTTACTGATTTCCAAAAACTTCTTTTGTTTCCATTAATAGAATGTTAAAGGGCGCAAAGTACACGCTAATGTAATGGTTTGGAGCAATTGTTTCCCAGCAAGGTCCTGGATTTGAGTCCTAACATTAGCATGTGTGAGTTTAATATACTATCGTCCTCAAAAAAATATTAAAGGACAAACTAAGAACTTTTCTTCAAAGTCCCAAATTGAGTTCTCCCCAATTCCACATACCACGTGAAGTTGAAAAAAATCTAAGGTAAGAGAAGAAGAATATAAAAAATTCCATAGGGTTTTGTTTTTTCAAAACAATTTGTGCTGGAATCATTGAATCAAGCTTTTCTTATATCCTAATGAGAATATGGCCAGGCAGAGCATGGGCATATGCTATTGGCTAATGAAAAATAATTAAGCAATAATCAGCCTCGAATAAAAACAGGTTACATCCTCATGGGATGGTTGGTTAACAATTTTTTGGGTCCAAGAAATAAATACTAGTCTTAGGTTTTTATAACAATAATTTGTTAAATTTGTATAAATACCACCTAAACTTGTAGGCATGTGCTTTATTACCATATGAAATTTTAATTTTTAATTTTAACCACATGAAATTTGTAAAGTGTTGCAATCCACCACCTATGTCTAACTCCGTTAAAATTTCCGTTAAGTTTAAGGGTATTTTCGTCTACTCCTTATAACTAAAATAAATATGAAAAACATAAATTTTTTATATATAAAGTTAATCTAATTATACCACACCTTCCCCAACTCCTACCATATCGTACTCTATATTTCTCAATCTCTTGGCATCTTGACGTGTGTTGTTAAAATTGAATTGCAAATACATCTATAGACCTACCAAGCTCTAGCTTGCTAATGGAATCACAACCCATTTCTTCTATGACAACCCACACAACAAGGAAATGTAGGCTTAAGTCCCCAGCTAAGAAGACAAAAATGTAGAGATAATAGAGGACTTAATTGCTTGATTATTTTTATATATTTTTGAAATTATTAACTTGCAATTTATTATAGGCATGTCCATAATATTTATGCAAATTTCTTATTTTTTAATTATGAAGCAACTAAGGGCATAATCTGGCTCACCTAAGAACTAATAAATAGAAGTTTGTAAGGGCACTTCCAGCGCTCCTCTTTTGCCCGAGTAGTAAGGGGCCTAGGCCCAGCAATTGGCTCCAGTGCGCAACAACAAGACCAAGCAATTGGTGGTGGGCTCCACAAGCCTGGGCAGGCCCGAAGTTAAATCTTGCCTGGGTTTGCTGACGTCATTAATGACGTTAGAAACAAAAAACTATTCATGTAAATAGTGACAAACCTTGCCTTGCCCTTTGAAGTGGAGGTGCTCTAAGTAGCTCTTTAATAAATGAACTTGGATATTTTTGGAGTACACGTGATTGAGGGAGAGGATTTACACAAATATTTATTGGGTGCCTCGGAATTTCGAACTTCCACCCATATGAATAAAGGTGAAACGTTGAACCAACTGAGTTATCCGCTCACTCACTGGCATAAATATTCTTGAATTAAATTAACGGAAAATTTTCATTTTTAGGTCTTGGATCAAATTTTCATTTTTAGATGGATGAGGTAGAAAAAGAATATAAGTGATTGATTATTTAAAATGGCGAATAAAAGGAAAATAAAATAAAATAAGTATAGAGGGCACAAGTGTCAAGGTGATTTGATTAAGTGAATGAATGTATGAGAGAGTGTGCACTTGTGATTTGTCAAAGGGAAATCGCACGTGAGGAGGCTTCCAAATTTCTGCAGATCGGTCAATCCTGCAACCTCGAATCTGGCATTTTGTTGGGATAAAAAAGTCGCCTCTGGTCAATCATTCCTGTTCAAACCCCCCTTTCTTTTTTCATTTTATATTTATTTCACTTTTTTAACTTACTAAGTCTAAAATAATTCAATTCAATCCGATTCTACTTTTATTTTGTTTTGAGACACCAAAATACATGAATCCCTCCTTTAACCATTTAGACATAGTTTATCGAACACATCTTTACAACCGAGGTTTTATGTAATAACATTGTAATATAATTGAACAGTGTAATAAGAGTTCGAATACGAGTTTGCATATTGTTACGTTTATAATATGCTTTAATGGTGGATTTAGTATGGAGTCCTAATAGAAAAGATGGGAGTAGTTGTGCTCTACTCCTTGAAGATCCGAATACCTTAAAACCCAAACTGAAAAAAAATATATAAAAGTTTCATTTTTAATGAGAATGCCTAGTATAATTGAGCAAATAAGAGATTATCATTCACTTTAATTGTGATGTGCAATAGTTTGAGAAAAGGTCGGTAGAGAGGGAGACCCTTTATTATTTGGCCAAAAGGTGGATAATAAAGGGGAAAGAAAGTGCTGAAAATTTCAGCTTTTTTGGAGCACTTCTCTATTTCAAAATAGTCCCCGTGCCCTCCTGCGGGGACCTTATGACATCATATCCTTCCTCCACAAACTGCACACACTATTTATATTACTATTTGTATTTGGAACGGAATATATATGTATCTCATCTCCTCTCACATTGCTGGTTTCACCAACTTCTACTCTCCTAGGCCATGGTGCTGCTACATCACATGTTCTTGCCTTTTTGTTTGCGTGTTTTACTATTCATGATTATGAACCTGTCGGACAAGGAAAAAACTTGCATCAATTGTGTACATACTCTTCTTTTTCTATTTCTCTCTTTACATATGTGTCCGAGACATGTAAGTTTTTCTCTTTAAAAGAGAGTGGTCGGGCCAATTAGTATCTAATTTTACACATATTAACAATATAACCTTTCTCTATGAAACCCAAGTTAATTGGCAGAACATGAACTTTTTACCAAGTAGCACATATTTTAAATATCTTTCGTGTTTGAAGAAGTAGGATGTGCATGTGAGCTCATGAACATCTTTCAAGAACATGGAGACGAGGCCTAACCCTACAAATCAAGTTCCTAGACCCCCCCAATCCACATATTTAATAGAAATCAGTATCATTTATGGCTCTTTTTTTACTTTAGAGATTATCTGTAAATTTCTGAGGCCATGGGGTCCTTGGATCGAAGGAGGGGGAAAAGTGTTCTTATCCTATCCTATCATGCTGTCATGGCATCTCAGTCATCTTTGCTAGGTATTTATCATGTTGGCCTGCCCTGCCCCTGCTACTCTAGGTCTAAAGGAGGAAACATTCATACAGCTTTTACATTTTCTTTCTTGTCCCTTGGCCCCTACCCTATGAACGAAAGAAAATTGTTGTAAATGCGTGTATTGTGGATGACCACCATACCTTTTATGAGTTCATTCTTTGAGTTTTATCTAAACATATATAAACTAAATTAATAATTTTGATCAGAAGCGCCCCATTTATTGAATCGGGGTCAGGTTTTACGTTCCGTTGTATTAGTTTATTTAGTTAAATAAATTTTTTTTTTGTACCGTCGAGATTTTCTAAAAATTAAAATAATAGAAGACTTCGGCGAAAATGAGAGAAACAAATTATGACTTTATCTTTTGCATTTCACTTTTTTCTCTACTACTCTTTCATCCTTGGTTACATAACAAACTTAAATTAAAATCTTAGGTTTTTCTTTAACTCAAAAAAGGAAAAAAAAAAGTGTAACTTCAAATTTTGGAGTCAGGATATGCATGCACTGGTGGCTAGGTGTGGATCAGGGCATGCATTATAATAAAATGAAATCAAAATCATTTTGGAGTAAAAGGTTCAAAATCAGTGGCTTTACCTTTAAGTTTAAATGCTGCTTATTAGAGCACTTTCATTAAATTAAATTAATTAACTAACTAGAGACAAAAAATAAATAAAGAAATCTATTAAGTGTTGGGATTATGGTCCCGTTTTGCAAGCTTAGGCGCACATCTGTTACCCTCCAATGAAACCCCGAATAGTCAAATGAGGCTTCCCCAGATTAGGCCTGCTTAATATTTTAGCCTAAAGTTGCTTTTCATGATTTGCCTTCAATATTTGAAATAGGGTAATGATTTCCCCACTCCTTTTTTATCCACTTACACTCAAAATGGAGTGTAAATGAATAAAATTGGAGTGGGGAAATCACTACTCTTTATATATATATATATATATAGCTTCAGTTGAAGGATCCCTCGAATAAGTTTATTTGAAGGATACTCTTATATATATATAGTTTTAGTTGAGGGATCCCTCAAATAAGTTTATTTGAAGGATACCCTTATAAGGCCCACTCAATATTGTATTTCTCTAATCCAAACTGTCTATTTTGTAGATATTCATTCAAAGATCATCTCTACAAAAAATCACTTGAATGCGATATCATTTGACTACTCAATTGAATTATTGAAATTTTAGAACTTTCTTGAAGCACCGTGTTCATTGATTTTGTAGGACACAATAGGATGTCGAAATAGTTTCCGATTTGTCTAATTTTTTGCAATAATGATCTATGAACGTAGACTTAAAAAATAGATTGTTTGGATCGTTGAATTTTTTTTTTATAGAGGATCCTGAAGGGTGTCCATCAAATAAAATTATTTGAAGAATTCCCCAATATATATTTCAAATCAAATATTTGATATTTGAATGCACCCCACCTCACAGATTAAACCTTGGATTTGGGTGTTTTGTTAGTTCGCCCACTCTAATTGACTAATCAAATTAAAGGGATT